CACAGTTGCATTCTCGCGTACATTGAAATTTATTATTAATTGAAGTCAATTAGAATAATTGTAAGTTTTAGTTTTTCCATTACAAAATCAACATGAACTGTTGGAAACAAAACAAAGTTTTTGAGTTCCAACTTATTAGTTCTAATATGGTAGAACTAGTGATGCCAAAATTTACATTAAGGAGGTTTAAAACAATAAAAAATAAACACTTAAAAATGCTAAAAAAAAATTAACATTTATTATATATATATATATATTTAAAATTTTAATTTTAAATCTTGATTATATAATATAATTTTTCAAAAAGTTAGGATGAATCCCCTTACTTTCATTTGGCTTTGCGGATAGAAGAAATCATCATCTTCTAAAGACTAAAACGTTGAAATTTTTCAAAAATGAAAAGTGGTACCGGAAAATTAGTGCTGGTATTCATTGAATTGAACTTGTTATCAAATTAATTCATAGCTTTAATATATTTTTTTTAAAATGCAAAAGTAGCACCGAAAGTTTTTTTTTTTTTTTTGGGCCAAAAATAAAGTTCGAGCTCTAACAGTAGTGAAAGTTACACTGATTTTCACCAAAATATACTTAAAAGTTTGCCTTTTCTTGATTGGATTTCGTACCCCATCCACTTTTTATCCATTAAAACCAATTTTAGTCAATCATCCACCATATTAAAATCTATTTAGCACTTCATGTCTTGGATAATTAATAAACTAATTAAGTTAATCTCTTACCAACACGTACTCATCACAATCAAAATGGACCCCACTAGAAAGTGAATGTAATTAGAAGAATAAAATAGTACAATAACATTATAACTTACACATTAATGGAAAATAGAGAAAAAAACTGAAACTGTATGCATATCAGCCTGCTAGTTCATATTGAAAGTAGATTTAGGTGAAAAAGAATTCTTTTTGCCGAGTACATTATTGTCTTAAGGTTACTTTTCATTTTAAATTTGTACTACTATTTAGAGAATGAACTAGGCAGATCTTTTGATACTATGTAAGATTTTTCACCCTAAGTTAGTTATAATAATAATAATTATCTAGTATTAGTCACCTTTCTGCGTTTACCCTTTTTCTATACTGACCTAAGTAATTAATTGTAATGCTCTTTCATGCGCCACCTGAAAAGGTGAAATTAAAGATCATGTCTCAAAAATCTACCACATCTCAATTAAACACAAATTTAATTTAATATATCAAACATGTACGTATATTTTCACACGTGGAATGATCTCAGGTGCGGATCTAGAATGGATCGTGGATGTTCAATAACTCTTTTCACAAAATATTACACTATATTATTATATACCATAAAGTACACAAACTCTCTTCAGTTTTATGATAAGCAAAAAGATAGAGAATTAGGATTAACATTAAAATAAAAAAGGTATTTACATAATGATGCTTCCTCCTGATAACAATAATATCTCAAGGATTCTTCATAGTCATAGGAATTACCTTTCTCCCACAAGCTTGAAAATAGAGAGAATGACAAAAATGTAAAAAACGAAAAAAGTAATTTTACCAAGTCATTAATTATCCGCTGCCGCCTCACATCCACAACGGCGGCGGTTCGTTCAAGTCAATAGGCAACCCACGTCTCACGATCCCAAAATACATAGCCGCAGCTCCACCGTCATTTTCCTTCGCCGGCGCGGCGCCGGTGACCGGCAAGTTCAGTTCCGGCGGCGGACCTACTTGTAGAAACTCCCCAATCATGAGTCTACGTCCGGAGGGCGAAGTCCACCGGTGATCAGATGGAAGGTTGAGGTCGATTGGAAGAGGAACGGAAGAAGGCGGCGGAGGAGGAGGAGGAGGAGGGAAGTTGGTTTTGGCTTTAGCACCGCGGAGTGAACGGGCGGCGCCGTCGTAAGCGAGTGCAGCTTCTTCGGGAGTGTCGAAAGTGCCTAACCAAACACGTGTTTTCTTCCATGGGTCGCGAATCTCTGCGGCGTAACGGCCCCAGGGACGCTTTCTCACTCCTCTGTAGTGACCCTCACGAGTTGAAGCCATGGAAATGGGGGAAATTTAGAGAGAGAAAGTGTATGAGTGTTGTGTTGTGTTGTGTTGTTTTGTTTTGTGTTGTGTGTCCCCGGGGGGTTTTGGGAGCTAAAAAGAGTATATTTGGGAAGCAGTCGTAAAAAAAAAAAGGGACCCACGGAGACACCCGTAATCGTCGGCTGGACGGCACGACCTCTCTCCTAAAAAAATAGGCAAATATTTAGGTGAACATATGTTTGGTTGGAAGGAAAATGTTTAGAAATTATAAATGACCAGTTAAGGATGAATAAATATTTATTTGTTATTGAATTTAGTACTTACTTATTTTGAGGGGTCATTTAGTAAGCGGCATGAAAATAATGCTAAATAGGGTGTATTAATAATATTTTTATTAGTTATATTTGTATTAATTATATATAAATTGTTTCTTAAGCATTATTTGGTTTGATCTACTAAAAATAACATGCGTTGTATAAAAATATCTTTCAAAATTATGATGGAAAGATATAAAAGGAGTTTTGAAGGGTAGTGGGGTCTTTATCCATACTAATGCATATATTAAATTCTTTTGCATTACTAATAACAGAAATCCATGTATCAAATAATATACCACTAATGCATGCATTATTTTTACCAATACAGTCAATCAAAAGACTAATGTTTTACAATTGTCTATTCTTACTCATTGTCTTAATTGGATTATTCTATTATCAAGTCTTTCACAATAAAGAAAAAACTAATACTTTGTCTTTGTAAATACGTCATTAATTTTTAATTATAAATTTAGGAGCGAACAAAAATTAACTTTATTTATCAAAACTTAAACAAATAAGAAAAATTAAATATAGTAGAGGTAGTATTTCGAAAGGGAAAAAAACTAGGTAGCATGGTAAAATCCAAGTTATACGCTATTGTTTTGAAATATCAAACTAAGAATAGGTGAAGTAATAGCTAAACAAATGCTATTTGAATAAATTATTTTGCAAATAAACAATTGTACATTTTATATTTTAAAAATTCTAATGTCATGCTATATATATTTAATGATGAGACATAATGGGGTTAAATTAAGAAGGAATAGAATGATAAATATAGACTTTTGGTATGGTAAGTCGGTCCTATAAAAGAGAAATTTTTCTTCCTCTATTGTTTCTAAAATGTTTCCATGAGAAGCTACAAACTTCAATTAAGTAGTAGTATTATTTTGATAAAATAAACAATCATAATTTTTCACAAAGGTTGGTGACAAGTTTTTAGGAAAAAATAGTTACTCGTAGAACGCGAGTATTGAGGCTTTCATCGAAACAAAGAGAGGAGCGGAAAGCCACTTGACTGTAAGGAAAAGGGCATGTATCTTTTTTTTAAAAAAAAGAAAGAGGGCTACTTCATGAGCCGTTACTAATAATCAAAAAAGTTCACAACGAGTTCAGTCTATAGTGACAAAGGAAACGTTTCCGCCGGAGCCATGGAAAAAGTATTCACTACTGCTTACATCGCCTTCATTCACTCGTCTTGCTACTTTGGAATTGTTCTAGCTCCACGATGTTAGGATCGGTCGGCCCATCCTCGGAATCCGAAAAGAAAAGAGAAACAGAACGGAATCACTTTGTTTCAGTGACATATCTAATCAGATTGAATAGGATTTGAAGAGCTGTCACGATCATTCACATAAATTTCAGTGAATTATTGAATCTATCAGTGTAATTGATCAGACAAGTACCAAGGACTTTCGGTAGATTTCTTTCATTTCCGAATTAGCTTGCGACAATTTTTCAGACTTTAATTTATAATATAAAATATATCCTTAATTACAAATATGATAATTTAAATTAATACACGTTTTTTAATATTATTTTTGGGTTTTAAGTCAAAAGTGAAGTCATTTGAAGAAAAAAATTATTAAGTTTTGCAACTTTGTTCTAATTATGGTGGATTCAATTAATCTTTTATTTCCACCCACGTTTCTTAAAAGGCTCTTTCTTAGTATTGATAAGATTAAGAAATAGCCTAAAGTCAAAATACAACATGGGATAATATTATTTTTAAATCCAATTTTTAGCCTATAGTAGAATTCCACTTATAATAAATTGACTGATGTATAAATTACTTGCATCAAAATCACGTGGGTTGATTTGATTCTAGAAAATTCAAGTCTACGATTGACGTTACTTTTTTTTCCAATTGAAACAGATATTTTAAAGACGAAATTATTTTAGCGGAGCAATTGCCATTATTAGAAAAACTAAAACATTTTAATTGCTATTAGTTTATTTTAGAATTAATAACGCTTTTCATCTTTCAATAGTTGAATATTTTGATGATAGTCTCTATAGTGTTTGACTAAGTATATTAAATATTTAATTAATTAAATTATACATTTTAAATCTCTTTGTCTTTGAATATTTAAAAATAAATCATAATTATTAACAGTTAATCCACTATTTAATAATAATTAAAAAATAATATATTCAATGAATTTCTATAAAATAAAGCTTTTAGAAAATAAAGTACAGCTTTTAGAAAATAAAGTACACATAGATCGTATATCTGTACTTAGATATAGAGAGACTTACTTATTCACACTAAATAGTTAGTGGATATATCGAAAGTGTGTGAAGCTGAAAGTGAGAGAATTAAACTACCAATTTGTCAACTGTGGATATACATTTTTTTTTGCCAAAGTCATCTGCGGCCCCTCAAAGTTGTCCTCATTATTCATTTAGACACCTCAACTACACCTAGTACCTATTGAACACCTCTACCACCCCAGATTTGAACCATCTAAGCATTTTTTGCCTACATGGCAAATCGTTTGTGATTCACGCAAATCGGGCGCGTGAATTGTTTTTTCTCCCATTTTTTACCCTGCATTTAAGACATCCAACGTTTCTCTCTTCTAAATCAGTTGTATTTTATCAAATGTCGCAAAGTTCAGTGAATATCGAGGAAGTCGATGTATGTAAGTGTGGTTATTATAGTCGACTGAAAACTTCGAGGACTCCATTGAACCCAGGTCGTCGATTTTTTGGATGCAAAGCATCAAAGGTTTGTAATTATTTGAACAAAAACTACTATTATTGTATTATTTGAAAAATCAACATTTTTGTATATTTATTACTGTAATGTGGTTTGTAGGAAAATGGTGCATGTGGCTATTTTAGATGGATTGATCCGTCACTTGAAAATGTTGATGAATCATCCTTAATGAATAGATTCATAGATGGTCATAATCCGATTGATCGACTAAAGAGAAAAGTGAAAGAGCTTGAAGAAGAAAGGGATTCTTTGAAATTTCAATTGAATGAAAATGAAGAGAAGATGATGGTATTGAACAAGAAGCTCAAGGAAGTTAAACTCCAAAGGGATTGGGAAAATGTCAAATTTAACCGAGTTGTGATTGTTTTTCTTTGTCTGCTAACTATAAAATGGTTCTTTAATATTGTGTAGTTCAAAATTGTAGTACTTAATTGTTTAGTTTTGCAGTAGTTAGGAGGCTATTTCACGTAATTAGTGTTGTACTTAATTGGTCTGTTAAGTTCATATTTTATATCAAATTGGAAGTTTGAATGTGAATTGATCAGTGTCTCTTTTGTAACTTCTAGTGTGAATTGATCAGTTTCTCTTTTATAACTTGCCCTGTGTTCTAACTTGCCCTGTGTTCTGAAATTAGTTCTGGGATCGACTTGCCCTGTGTAGTTGTTGTTCAAAAACTGAGCTAATAACACAAATGCATGGCTGGAAAATACATAACACAAAGTCATGGTTGAAAAATACATAACACAAATGCATTGAGAGGTAATAAAAAACCATTGTCTTGCATGGTTCAAAAATACATAGTCTTGCTAACACAAAGGCATGGTTCAAAAATACATTACACGAGTGTTCAAAATAAACTAAAGAGTAGCTTGTTGAAGACCCTTTTAACATGGGCCAAAATCATAACAACTTTCCAAATGAACTACTTTTAGTTTTTCCTGTTTGCTTTCATTTGTTGCAACTGTGAGGTGCTGACTGCATCTTTTCCCTTCCATTTTAGGCCACGAGGTTTAAAGCCAATGTCTATATTGGTTGGTGAAGCACTCTTCAATTTTGTTGGCCCATGTAGAATCTTCTCACTTGATGTACCAGGCTGTAATATAAGAAAGAAAGTGTAAGATAAGTAAGATCATAATATAGCTATCAGAATATACACCAAAGCAGAGTAAACATACATTAAATACTTGGGCTCCAGTTGTAGGATTAGAGTAAACACCAAAACCAGTTGCAGGCCTTCTGTTACCTCCAGTAGCAGCAGCAAATGAGGCAGAATTGTACGATCTTTTGTGACCTGATAAAGGAGGCAGTTGACTAGAAGAACTATCACTTTCAGTAACAAATGGGGTCCCTCTTGCATTAGCTTTTTTTATTCTCAATCCTCTTCCAGTCCCAACTTGAACCCTATTTTGAGGACGTCTTGGCACAGATTATGTGTCAGCACAAATAGAACTTGGTTGACTTGATTGTGTAGTTGCATATGTGGTTTAGAAAGTACAATGCGATGGACCTCCCATTGTAGACTATATAGCATAAATAAGGATATATGAATAACTTGTAGATCAATCAGAAAATGTAAATGAATTATTAAATCTAATCTTACTGTTGTTTGAGTAGTTCTTGGCACAGCAGTGGTATCAGCACAAACAGAACTTTGTTGACTTGATTGTGTTCTAACCTATTGAACAAAAATAAGGAGATATGAATAACTTATACAATGAAAATTAATGCAAATGAATATGTAAATCAAATCTTACTCCTGTTTGAGAATAACTTTGTTGGCTTGAATTTCCTTGACTTGTAGGTTGAGAAGTGCTCCCCCTCGTATACTATGTCACCACAAAATAAAATATATGATTATAATATATATAAACTTTAAGCAATTTACAAATGTGAAATGAAGTATTACTTACTCTTGCACACACAGCTTTGTTATGACCAGTTTTCTTGCATA